ATGAAGGAAAATGATAGCGTGTTATTCTTTCCTTTAAATGAATTAGTCATCATCATCTCTGAGGAATGAATCTTCTTTAACTTTTGTTGTTTCTAGTGATATCATATACTGGAACACAAGCATACGAAACAGAACAAGTGATGACAGTAGTCCAGGATTCCCTGGTCAATGACCATATCCATACATATTTCATACATCACTATTATCATGGGCATCAAAACATCTGAAATTCCTTTAGAATCACTGAAAGATCCTCTTGTTGGTTTGTTGTTAAGGATGTCAGATCATCAGTATAAAATTGATCCCTGTACTGACCATAAAACACACATTCCCTATGGCACTTTTAGCTTTTCATTCAATTCTTGAATTGTTGTTCTCAGATTGGTTTCCTTACAGTGATACCTCGTGACTTTGATGATTAAAACGAATTATCAAAGTTGCACAATTCCAATGAATTTCACCAAAAGTATTGAACTAATGCATGCCCAAAATTATTTCAGAAATATTGCTAGGTAATATCCAGAAATCTAATGTAAGCGTGTGTTATCTGATCATACTTCTTAGTAATCAACAACTTATTATCAGAAGCAAATATTAATTACCACGCAGCATTCCATGTAAAGTATTAAGAGAAATGTAGACATCTACAGCTTGAATCATGTTTATGTTGTTGTCAAAATAAAAGACTCTTCCATTCATGGATAACAGTAATAGTTTTCCCACATTATGTCACTCGTCGAGTTTCCAATTCAAAGATTTGTTCAGCCTTCGCTTTCCAATTTAAAAATTTGTGTCATTGAAAGAAAATTGAATATGGATACGTTTCAAAACAGACTGCTCGAACCAATCATGATTTTGATCATGTTTACAACAGAGAATTGAGAGGAGATTTTGAAAATATGAAAACAGAAGAGGGATGATAAGTTCAGACAAGGTAAGTTTAGAACCAGGTTTGATGATTCAGGACAGTAGGTATTGCAGTTATTGGGAATATATTTTAAACATATTATGCAGATTCTGATTATCATAAAACCTTGGGTTTCTGACTCTGTTTTGCAGACCAAATTTCATTTGGATGTTTTGAAAATGATTTTTAGGAACAAATTGATTAAACAACAAATTATCCTATTAATTTGATCTTTAATATTCGGTTTGAAAATGTCAAAGTAAAATGATCAATTAATACTTAAAAGAATCGGTTGTATCGGTACTGGAAGAGATTTAGAAGATGATACCAGAATTTAAATCGATTAAAACGAAAATGAATCGATTAAATTTGATACCTTAGTGATTTTAGTTGATATAAATTCATTTTAATCGATTAAAACAGCTAAACCAAAATCCTGAGAACATTTTAATCGATTATTTCGACATTTCAATCGATTAAAATGGTACGGACAGATATTCTGATATCTCGTAAGTTATTTTAATCGATTGTTATTCTTATATATCAATTAAAATAATTAGTTTAAATAATTAGAACCTGGTTTCGCAGCTCTGATCTTCAAGGGATTCCCAGACTTGTTCCTGCAAAACAAATTAAGAATTTTTCTGGTACCCTTTATAGTTACTAGGTCCTGATCAGGTTATTTGAAAGGAATTAATTTTTGGAACCCATTTCATTCTTCCTTTAGGAATAGCATACTTTTTTATTCTGCAATACTTTACTGAGTGACCTTTCTTCATGCAGTAGAAACATTTGATTACAGAGTATGAATTCCTATTTGTTTTTGTTTTACTGGATCTAGATTTAAATCCTATTCCAGATTTGTCAAAAATCAATTTTTGAGACCCAAGTAATACATCAAGATTGGCTTGCCCTTGTGTGAATCTTGAAACAGTTTGAGATAAAAAATCAATTTTCTTTTGTAATTCAGAACAGTTATTGCAGGGTTTATTGCATTCACAATCAGAATTAGCATGAATTAGTTTCAAGAAGTCACGATCAGTTTCATCTTCAAGAATTATTTTTTCCAGAGAATCAACTTTATTTACTAGCCAGTTATTTAGTCCTTTCAGCCTATCATTTTCTTTTTGAAGTTTCTTAGCCTCTTCATGCATTTCATTAAATGCTTCTTGTAATGCATCATAATTAACTAAATTTGAAGAGGAGCTAGAACTTACATTGCTTGGATTGTGGATTCTAACTTGCCATTAGACAAAGGTTGGCTTCTTCATTATCGAATTATCTCGTTGATGAAGTGTCATTGTCATCCCAAGCTATATAGGCTCTTCTTTTTGCTTTTTCTTCTTTCTTCTCACTTTGTTTGTTTCTCTCTGGACATTCCATCCTGACATGGCCCTGTTTGCCACAACCATAACATTTAAAGTTAGAAGAATCAATTCTTTTCTCATACCTCTTATGTCTTTCCTTGTCATGGATCTTTTTCTTGAGAAACTTGTTGAATTTCCTAACAAGCAGTCCAAGGTTCTCATTCTCTTCCTCTGATTCTTGATTTTCTTCAACTTTAAGTGCAATACTTTTGTTCTTCTTCTCAGAAACTTCTTGTTCATTGAATCTTGTGATTTCCATTTCATGTTCTCTAAGTTTTCCAAACAGAGAGGCTGTTGTCATAGCGGACAGATCTTTTGATTCTGATATTGCTGTGACTTTTGGCTGCCAAGACCTGTCAAGACATTTCAACACTTTAATATTCAATTCTTCCTTATCAAATGTCTTACCTAGGCCCATTAAATGGTTAATGATGTGAGTGAATCGTTTCTGCACATCCACAATGCTTTCACCAGTCTGCATCTTGAACAGCTCATATTCTCTTATTAAAGTATGCTTTCTGGCTCTCTTTACATTTGTTGTCCCTTCATGGGTGACCTCAAGAACATCTTACATCTCCTTGGCAGATTTGCACTGGGATACCCTGAAAAATTCATCCATGTTAAGTGCAGAAGTAATTATATTTTTTGCAGTGCAGTCACTTTGAACTTTCTTCTTCTCCTCATCATTCAAGCTGAACCATTCTTTATCTGTAATTAAAGGACCATTAGAAATAACATCCCAAACATTTCTATCAATGGATTCAATAAAGATTTTCATCCTAATTTTCCAAAAAGGATAATTTGTTCCACGGAATAGTGGAGGTCTGTTAATAGATGCCCCCTCAGAAAATGGTAACTGTTTTCGACCATGGATCAAGAGACTTGAATAACTTTCAAGCACCTTGCTCTGATGCCAATTGTTAGAAAAGTAGTTTTAGATCAAGAGGGGGGGTGAATTGATCTTTGAAAGTTTTTCGCAAATAACAGATTATCTAATTCGAAAATTAAGTTTACTAATCTATTCTTGAATCACAAAGCAATCAATTAAAATAAGCGCATCAACTGAATTTAAATGAGAGAAAGGTTAAGGAAGATATCACCAGTATTTTATACTGGTTCACCCAATACCAGGGCTACGTCCAGTCTCCAGCCAAATTCCAGCTGGGTTACACTAGATTAAATGTTTTACAGATTCAACAATCTTACACCTAATCTAACACAAGAACCAAATTCCAGTTCCTGCACTTAACCTCTCCACCAAGAACCAAATTCCAGCTCTTGATAACCTCTACAACCAAATTCCAGTTGCAGAGAAACCAATGCCAAAATTCCAGGCACCAAACCTTTCACCAAGAACCAAATTCCAGTTCTTGATAACCTCCACAACCAACTTCCAGCTGCAGAGAAACTTGTGCCCAAATTCCAGGCACAACACAATACAAAAGAATGAAAAAGAATTTACAACGAAGAAACTAGAAAGCTCAAACCAGTTTATCCAAATCTGTAGAGAGTTTCTTCTTCAAAAGTATGCAAGTTGCCTCAAGAAAGATTTTCAAAAGAACTTCTAAAAACTGTTGCGAATCTTTCTTGAAAAAGGATGCTAAAGGTTGCTTGAATGATTGCTTAGGATGTGTAAAAACTGATATTCAATGTATGTTTAAAAAGTTCAAGCAAAACTATTTTTAAAGAGTATTTTCAAAACTGCTGTATTAATTAATCTGTTGAAAGTTTGTTTTAATCTGTTGAAATAGCCGTTTCAATCTGTTAAAAGTCCTTTCAATCCATTAATGCGTTCTTGATTCTTTAACAGAATTGTTTTAGCTGATACTGGAACGGTTATATCAATTAAAACACTTTTCAAAAAATCTTCTAAGTTAATTCAATCGATTGTTTCGTGTTTTAACCGATTGATATACTGCAAAACTTTCTTATAAAACTTTTCAAGTTATTTTAACTGATAAAAAGAAGTTTTAATCGATTAAAACAGATCTGATCGGTCATAATTCAATTCTGATCAATCATAACCAACTCTGATCGGTCATAACTGCATTCTGATCGATCATTCTGACCCTTTAAGTGATTTTAATCGATTGAAACGTGTTTTAATCGATTGAAAAAGTTCTGATCGCTCATAATTCAAATCTGATCGGTCAAATTTGATTCTGACCGGTCATATTTGTATTCTGATCGGTCATAATGAGTTCTAAAAGGTTTTAATCGATTAAAAGCAATTTGTATCGATTAAAATACTGTAAAAATACTTCTTTGAACATTCTAAGAGATTATAATCGGTTCTTTCAACACTATATCAGTTAAAAACATTATTAAGAAAACTTTTGTTAAAATTCTTTGTAATTAATTGTTAAAAACGATTTTGGAGGCATTTTGCAAAATCATTTAAGAGAAGAAACTTCATGCAGCAGAAAAGATAAAGTGGTTTTACCTAAGTCTTCTGTAGACACACTAAATCTTCTAACTCTATTATCTGAGTGACTTGTTGACTGCTGCAAAATGCCTTTTGACTTCATCTTTGACTTCATCAAATCAATGAGATCTTTGCCAAAGTATTTCACTAAGATCTTCATCACTTTCAGTTCGCTCTCAAGTGCTCCTCATGGACCCATTACCTTTTGTCAACTGTGTCTTTTCCATGGTCATACAACATGAACGCCAACAGCTTCAACTCTCTCCTCTTGTTGATGAACCAAACCTCTTTTTAATGCCACCTTCAACAAATCTCGTTCTGGTCATCCCAGTGGCCCTGGCAATCCCGGAGGCCCCAACGGTGCTCATAACTCCCTTTCCACCAAACAGTGCTCCTATTGTCACCGTCGCAGCCACACTGTTGATGTTTGTTACTCTCTGCACGGTTATCCCATCGGCCACCCACTCTACCCAGGGAGACCACATTTTAACCACCGCACTGAAGCTACTAATGGCACTGTTGTCGCTATTTCTGCTACTCCTAGCGGAAAGGAAGTGCTTCCTTCCTCTGAGCTCAACCTCTCTAAGGCCCAAATTCAACACCTTCTCAATCTTCTTCAATCAAACCATACGGGCCCAGATCACACCTCTCAGCCCAACTCAGTGAATCTGTCTTTAACTGGGCCTAATCCGGCCTCAGGTTCCGGATCTGGCTCCAACATGGGTAACAAATTTGTTTCTTCTCTAAAAAACTCACATGTTTTATCCTTTTTTACTTCACACACAACCTCATGGATTATTGACTTAGGGGTTACAGATCATATTGCGTGTAACCTTGATTCTTTTATGTTTTACAACCAGATTTCTCCTGTGAAAATTAATCTTCCAAATGGTTCTTTTATTATTTCCAACATCTCTGGAATTATACAATTTTATCTCACTTTTACTCTCTACAATGTTCTATATGTCCCTGTTTTTAACTTTAATATATTGTCTATTTTAAAACTTATTTCTGATCTTCATTATACACTCATTTTTTCTGGACACTCATGTTTCATACAGGATATGAGGTCCCTCCGGATGATTGGACTAGCTAAACTCACCAAAGGCTTATACCAACATGAAATCCAAAACAAAGTCCTTCCCAAGTCTCTGCCTTTTCCCATCATCAACACTACTAGCACCAATCAAAACCATCTCTGCCACCTTAGATTAGGCCATTTATCTAGTAAACGTCTTGATGTTTTACACAAACAATTTTCTTTTATTCCAAAAAATTTCAATGAAGTTTGTGATGGTTGTCATTTGGCAAAACAAAAAAAAAATTGTCTTATTAATTAAGTGATAGAAGAGCTTCTAAGCCTTTTCATTTATTACATATGGATATTTTGAGTCCTTCTTCTATAAATTCATTTCATGGTCATGGTTATTTTCTTACTGTTGTTGATGATTTCAGTAGGTACACATGGGTAGTGTCATTAAAAACAAAAAGTGAGGTCCGAACTCATGTTCAAAACTTTGTTCATTTCATAGAAAATCAATTTGAAACCAAAATTAAATGCATTCGTTCGATAATGGTCCATAATTTTTTCTAAGTAATTTTTACTCATCCAAAGGTATTTTACATCAAACAAGTTGTAATGTCACACCCCAACAAAATGTCCGCGTAGAACGTAAATACCAACACATTCTCAATATAGCAAGATCCTTTCTCTTTCAATCTCATATTCCCACTCGTTTTTGGCCTTATGCCACCATACATGTTGTGTACCTTAGAAATCGAATTCCTTCACCCATTATTGACAACAACACCCCTTATGAGTTACTTCATGCACAACCACCCAATCTTTCTATTTTAAAGGTTTTTTGTTGTCTTTGTTATGCATCCATACACACTTACAAACATAAGTTTGATCCAAGAACTACACGCAGTGCTTTTTTGGGTTTTCAACATGGAACAAAAGGTTTTGTAATTTTGGATTTAGAAACACAAAAAGTTTTCTCTCTCGTAATGTTTTCTTTGCTGAAGATCAATTTCTTTTCCATAAACTCACCCCAACTTCCAAGCTCGTTCAAGAACCCACCTTACCCTTGCCAACATCTACTCACCCCATGCCCAATTGCCTAATACCTTATATTGTTCCCACCACACCAGCCACATCACATACTCTACAAACGCTCAACCATCCTGATAGTACCCTCTCTTCCCTAAATACAACTCCTTCTTTCCCACCACACTCTTCCCCCTCCTCCACACCGTCACCCCCTTTCTCTCCTTCGACCCAAGTTTCCCTCCCATCTACACCTTCTCCCCTTCCTCTTCGACGATAAACTCGCTCACACAATCCACCTCCTTACCTCCATGCCTATGACTATACCCTAACCACAGTCCAATCTTCTGAGAAATGCATTCATCCAATATAATTTGTTGTTGCCTATGACTCTATTTCTCCTACTCATACTCGTTTTTTAATGGCTCTATCTTTTGAAAGTGAACCCACAAGTTACTCTGAAGTCGTCATACACTCATGTTGAAAAGAAGCCATGCGCTCTGAAATTGATACTCTCGAATTGAACAAAACATGGGATGTTGTCAATGATCCTCATCACATCAAACCCATAGGTTGCAAGTGGGTGTTCAAAATCAAACGTGGTCTTGATAGTTCTGATGAACGGTACAAAGCCCATTTGGTGGCAAAGGATTTTACACAGGTGGAAGGCATTGATTATCTTGAAATTTTTTCTCCGATTATTAAGATGACTACTGTTCGTCTAATTTTTGCTCTAGCTTCTGTTCATCGTTGGTACCTTCACCAATTTGACGTCAGTAATGCTTTCTTACACGACGATCTCAATGAAAAAGTTTATATGAATCTTCCCCCTAGATATTCATCCACTGGTTCCTCAAAATGTTGCTGACTCAAAAAGTCTCTCAATGGCTTGAAACAAGCCAATCGACAATAGTACAAAAAATTATCTCAGTTACTTCTGTCTTGTGGATACCGTCAAGCACACGCAAATCATAGCTTGTTTCTCAAACTCACAAATTCAAGTATCACTATTTTGCTTATTTAAGTAAATGACATTCTACTGACGGGTAATTCTGTTTCTGAAATCAATTTTATAAAACACACTTTGAGTTCTCACTTCCATATTAAGGACCTTGGCCTTTTGAAATACATTTTGGGAATCGAAGTTGCTCATTCCACTGCAGACATTTCCTTATGTTAACAAAAGTATTGTTTGGATCTTCTTCAGGATTCTTGCATGCTTGGTTTCAAGCCCATTTTCACTCCCATGGACTATTCCCTTTGCTTACACCAAGACTTGCTTACACCAAGACAACTCTGATCCTCTTCCAGATCCTCGACGTCTTATTGGACGTCTCATAGCACTTGTCCTGACATCACCTTTGTCACTTAACAACTGAGTCAATCATTTAAAACTTACTATCATCATTATGTCTTATTCTAAGAACCATGCAAGAAAATTCAAATTGGATTCGTTAATATCATCTTAGTATGAAGAAAGTTTAAATAAAAGAAAAAAGGGTACTTTCTGCAGTCATATATAAAACATGAAAAGCTAAAAACATTTGCCACACCTTTTAACAGAACAATGCATTACATTACCCACATCTTAAGTTAACCCACCAAGGAAGGAAGAAGTTCATGTTATGGTCTTGGCTGAATCAGGGTGTTAGAAATCTCGAAGTTCAACACCAATGAATGGAAGTGTACATTGAAAAGTAAGAAATGAGTAAAACAAACACTCCTACGTGTTTAAGAACAAAGAAAACATTTTTCCTCATTGCTGCTTTACTTAACAATTCCATCACATGCAAGAGTCATTTCAAGAATCAGAATGTGATAAGAACACAAACATAAATGTAAAAAATAGGAGAACAATTATGAGCCACTTTAGCCCATTGGCATAGTAAATTCATTAATTGAAACCCACACAATAGCACAGAAGAAACCTAGTTTGGGCCAACAAGCCACACCAACATTGTCAAGAAGTTCAATAGCGCAAGAAGAAAGTTCACTGGTCTAAAACACAAGGGAGCAACAGCACTATCTATTTTACACATGATACATCACATGGTAGATTTGAATGACAATGATAAATTAATTAGTTCCCTGGAGGACCACCGAAGAGGTATCCCAAGGAAGATCCACCACCTGGGGCAGCATGAACCTTGGTAGATGGCCGATCCTGCACCCAAAAGGAAACCAATATCAGGAACAATTCCTCACAATGACAAGTTCAAGCTTCGTTCCTAAAGCATCATCATACCAATTCAATATTGAAAAAAAAAAAAAAAAAGAGAAGGGGATTATTTAAAACTTTTTCTCCATGTACAAAATTCTCACCATTGCACATCACTATGCTGATTATTTAAATTACATCGCACCACCACACACCTTTTCAGACTTAACACTCAACTAAAAGGATCTCCCACAATGTAGCACTATTGCAATTCAGAATCCTGTTTTACTTTGAGATTTTGTTTTACCCCACAAATTGTCAACACTAAACTTGCAACTTCACTACTTTTAACCGAACATTAATGGGAAATGCAAGAGGAGGAGATTCCAAAATTCATCTACTTTACTATGAAGCTTTCGAGTAATTCCTATGCTAATGTTAGTGGAAACAAACAAGAATTACTTAAGCAAAATTACAGAAACGGCAAGAGCTAGTTACAGAGTACAATTAAAATTAAAACAATCATAATAGATAACTTAAAAAAGGGAAGTACAGTGAGAAAGTTGCCACAGTTTTGGCCATCAGCACGATGGTAATTGTTTTTGAGACTCCCAGGAATTCCAGCTGGAATTTGCTTTTCAACCGGTGCTGGACTTTGCTTTTCAACTGGTGCTGGACTTTGCTTTTCAACTGGTGCTGGACTTTGCTTCTCAACTGATGGTGAAGGAGCACTAGCATTTTGAGTGCGTGCACCATTTGCAGGCTGGTTCGTGCTTTGGACATTGCTGGCAGGCTCCCCACTGCCGAAGAGGTAACCCAAGGAACTCTGACCACCACCAGCACTGACACCACGACCCATTTCCTGTCTGTTTGGTGGGGCTAAACAACCTATATAGCAGCATCACATTTTATGTCACAAGGAATTCTACATCCAAAATTCACCGAATAACAAAATAACAGGCTCAAATGCAGCAGATACAAGAGCCATGAGAAAAAAGAAAAGCAACAACTATCAACAGTTGATACCATATTCAAGGCATTGAAGTACATACTATGCACCAAAAACAAATAATGTAATTAGTTTTGAATGAACACAGATAACTATTTTACATTAATAAAGAACATAGATAAACTTTTCAATTACATACATCCTCCATCTTTCTTCATATAACAACAGGATTCTTAAACCATGAAAGCTTATAAACAGACATACACGGGTAAAACTATCAGTGTAAAGAATGGAAAATGCAAATGTGAAAAGGAAATGAATAGGGAAATGAAAAGTTTTTTAGAAAAACTAAATCCATGAATGTAGTGGTCATCAAAATGATTTAAAAGGTTTGCACGTCTTACTCAGAAGATCAAAACCAGGATGAATAAATATTATTATTTTCCTAATTAATTGTTTTATGCGTGAGCATTTTGTGTAAAACATTAACATTTGATTTTGAAACTATATAGCCATTTTATTTTGACACAAACGTAGATCTCATTTTCCTTTTCCTTCATCTGCATATATCGTCTTCAAGAGCATAATTTTATTGAAGAGGATTAGATGAAAATGGAACTCAGACCCTTCTACCCAGCAATGCAATCAAAATTTTATTCCATTGCATCCCTTTTGTTTTAGTCCCGAGACGCTTCTTTCAGCTCAGATCAGGCTAAAACAAAAACATTCCAAAGCCACAGACCCTCCTGATCTAGCCGAGCTCAAAGCGCATGGACTCAAAAAACTTAAAGGCACAAAATTGAATAAGAAAACCGGGGAAATCAGATGCTAAATCCCAAAACAAATGACCCATAAACAAATCTGAGCTAAAGAAGCCATTTTTAAGCGATTCAAGCATGAAAAAACAAACAAGAACATCCCAACACAGGATTCAAAATCCAGGTCACACCAATCAAACCGTCTAAACACCTAATCGAAATAAACATGCAAGAAAAAAAAATGTGCCACCAATCAAAGTGCATAACCAAATTTGTTTTTTGAGAAGAACATCATGAGTTAACAAGAACATAACAGCATATGAAACATAGATGATTGTAACCCAGACAGAAAATTAGACAATACATGAAACATGGTGTGGATCGAAATGCAAACCGATAAACGAGTGAGATCTGAAGTTTCAGTACCTTTGGTGATGCCGAGACCACTCACTCGCTGAGGGCAACCGAGTCGGTGACGTTAGAAGCGAGCACACTATGTAACAGCCATGTAAAATCAGATATTTATAACGGAGCCTATTTTTTTCAAAAACAAAAAATAGCAATTATTTTTTTTAAAAATAAATAACTATAAACAAGTTAATTTAATACAATAAATTTTGATTTAATTCCTGAATATCTGGAAATTTAAAAATTACATTTGCTGTTAAAAATTATCAACCCTTTTATCATTAAATTGTATTATTTAAACATTAATTCAATTCTAATACTCTCATTGCATTTGGGGTATGTATTTCCAGATGAAATTATTATTATCGTATAAAAAAATTAATTATAACTTTTTTCCTTTTTCTTATATAAAATTTTCATTCATTTGTATTTTCTTCACTTTTTTTACTTAATTTAAAGAACTTCACTCTTCACTTTAATTTTGCTTTTTTTTTTTCATTTCCTTATTTTCCCACCAACCTGTGCAAACAAAATGTAAATTGTAATTTTTAAAGATAAAACTACATTAAGTTATAAATCAATACACTAATTTGTCATAAGATTAAACAGGAAGATATAATTGATATATTTTTACACATTTAAATCAAAATCATTGCTACTTCATAAAATTACATAATCAACTATTTATCACTAATAATAAGTAGTAAGACTTTAAATTTAATTGTAGAATAACACTAATATTAATAGTAATGTATATAAGTTTTAAACTTTTTAAAATTTGAAAATTTTTGAAGTGTGGTTGTGAAGTATTATGGTAAATGAATATAGCTGGATTTTGGGCCCACAGCAATATCCATGATGGGCCTGGCAAACACAATAATGTTGCTCACGTGCATAAGTATTGGTTGTCGTAGTGGTGATGGTTCCCAAGTAAATTTTCCTTCGCCACAATGTTTCATTCATCAAAGATAAACGTTATAAATCACATGAAGAAAAAGAAAAAGAAAATAGCCGTTATTATATTCGTTTCATGGATTTAAATTTCAAACGTTCATAAATAATTTTAAATTATATTAATTATCCTCTTAACTATTATATTCTTGCAATTATATTTGTTGCACGAAAAATATACGATGGTCGCATGACATTATCAGTGTCATTATTGTCTTCTGCTAAACTAACTTGTAACTCAGTTGGCACTAAACCTATTTCAATTATCATTTATGATCAATTTTTCTGAATGATGTATTATACGTTTTTGGAGAAAATCCCTGAGAACGATAACATTAAACACCTTTCATAACAGTTGCTTGGCACAGAGGCAAAGTTACATATGGAGAAATGCAACTCAGCAAGCAAACTTTTTCTGCAAAAAGAAGGGGCTATGCAGCCAAAGAAGGGACCTTTCTCAAGCATCACGCATTGGACAACTTGCACTCTGTTGTATCCTCCATCTCTCAAAGATCATGCAAGCAAAACCCTACTTTACCTTGTGCGTGTAATAAAGGCCTTGGTGCTTCTAATTAGGGTCATAAATGATTTTGATGAATTCAAGATTATAAACATTGTTTGCATGTTAATTCTTTCAGGGTGTAAATGATGGTTTGAATTCAAATTCTGTGTGTTTGTCAATGTTTGCAAAATGGATTTTCTTGTCCAATAATTTTTATTTGGATGTTCTGCAGAATAAATTAGTAGTCAAATTCAGAATAAAATCTCTGTTGTAATTTTGTATTTAGTCTTTAATTTCTTTTGGACTTTTGATTTTCAATTTTTTTATTAAGTATTTAAACCTTTCAAAATATTATTTATAATAACACATCACCATATAATAGGAAATAAATGGGTTATTCTGATAAAAAGAATATTAATCTTTTGATAAAAAGTTAAATTATAAAAAAAAAAGTCAAATCAAGACTTAAAATTAAAAAGAGTGGAGAGGGAAGTGGAAACTTCCTTTTCCTCCACATGTTATCTTGCGCCGAACTGTGTCGGTCACCCACCGTGACACCTACTACTGGCCACACTCCCAATCCAATAATAATAATAATAATAACAAATTTAATATAATAGTTATAACTACTATTATATATTAAATTTTATTATTTTATATGTTTTCTTTAAAAATTAATATATACCAATATATAATAAAATAGTTTATTCTAAGATATATTACAAATATTTTTTAATAAGTTAATAAAAAATCGAACGTGTTTTCATTAGTAATATTGATCATCGTTGTCCTCGCCAGACAAGGTTCATGCATGACAAAAAATAATTAATTTATGTTTGTGAATAAGATATTAAGAGGTTTGCAAAAATAATTTATGCGGGAAAAAAATAATAATTTAATAGCATGAATAAATAAACATATTTGAATTAGAAAATAAACTGAATATAAAACATAGTTTTGCATTTATAAAATTGTTAGTTTTCAGTCTTTTTAATTTTTAAAAACTAAAACTTATTTTTAAAATCTATTTTAACAAAACAATATTATGGTCATTAAGGATATATTTTTTCATCTAAAGTAGTTTTAAACAATAGAATCAATAAATAATTTTTTTCTAACTTATTTTTAAAATTAATTTCTAAAAACTACTTTAAAAAAATAAATTTTTATGATTGTTTGTTTAAAATGCGATTTTTTAAAATTGAAATTTGGAAATTATAGAAAATAATTGTTAAAAGATTAAATCATAATTCTACATGTAAACATAATGAATGAAAATCACTAATATTTAAGTAAAACGTACATGAACTATTTAGGGATAATTAGTAGTGCCAAACATGCAAAAATGGAACATGACTCGTGTTAAGAATCGATTTAACTTGAAATTAAAGTTTATTAATTTGATTAAATAAAATAACTTGATTAGATTAGATATGTAACAAATCAAACTTAATAACTAATGAATAATTAAAGTCCTTTATTTCTAATTTTAAGTGGGACAAAATATACTTGCTCTGAAAGACCAATGACAATCGATTTGTCGACTCAAAATAATACGAGAATTCAATATCTGACTATATTAATTTCTCGTAGTTTTTTTTATTATATTAGTTTCTCACTTCTTCTGTTTTTTTAACCTATGCACTTGTTATTATTAATTAACATTGTTATAATTTATTAAAAATAAATTTTAATTATTATGATCTGTTTATTTGGATTTTTATATTATTTTGAATGTTAAACCCTTGTATGTTATCATAAGTTTCAGTATTATATTTATTTTAACTAATTATAAATTGTTATATTATTATTATTATTATTATTATATTATTATTATTAACCACGAATAAATTTTATATTTTGGCGGATTTAGTTTCAAAATACATTGATAAATAACAACCAATTATATCATTAAATATATTTAATTATAAAAAATGGATTTATATGAATTTAACTTTATATTAGAAATTTCAATTCTCAATCTCAAAATTGGGATAAGCTTTTTATCCTTTTATATAGTCACGTGTCTTTATTAAGTTTTAATACATATTTAGTATTTTTTTTTAGATTAAATCAACATTCTATTTAATAGTTATTATCCATTTAAAAGAGATTTTTAATTTCCTACTTAAATCTTTTTTATTTTCAAATAATAATATAATAAGTGTTTACTACACACATTATCATCCTCATTTACAACACGTGGAAAAGAAAAGAAATATAAAATCAATTAAAATTGTGGTCAAATTATACAACTAAACTAATAATCTTACTTTAAATAACTCCAATTA